AAGGGAGAGACAGAGCCAATAATCTGCCATTCTCACACTATTAGTGAAATACGCTTACCGTGATTTTGAATAAATAAGGTCCTTATTCTACACCCCTAAGTATGTATAACACAAAGGGGAATGACAAGCCAAAAAACCATTATTTTTTGAAGCAGTGACCGAGTAGAGAGATGTGAACAATTAACAATTACATCTCTGAGGTGGTAGAAATAAGGTGCTCACCAAGTTCATCTATAAAAATAATATGCCTTTATATTTTTTTAAGGCTTCTCAATAAAAAGTAGCATGTCACTTTTACAGAGTTCAGGAGTTTCGTTTTTTAAAAATAAGTACTTCTACAACAGAAGACAAAATACTAACACACTATGGATGGATCTTAGACACAAGACACCAGAGCTTCAAACTCAGACGTCATCAGTGAAAAGGCTTGAACTTCTAGTCGCTAGAATTTCAAAAAAGCAAAGAAATGTGAAAGTTCTAGACTTTTCAGCTGCTAAAGGAAGAAGCTTTTACACTTCACTGGGGAAACCCAACTTGAGCATCAGGAAGCCTCCTTGCAGAAACATAATTTAAGAGAGCTAAAACTTATTTAAAAGTTGCAGTGCCTGTAGCGAACACCAGCTCCGAAGGGATAAACTGTGATTCAGCCCAAATCCTGCCCACTGAAATCACGTGAAGTTCGGATCGGTTAGAACCGGCATGTTTTGGATCCCAAGAGTTCACCCCCATGGAAAGCCCCTGACTAACAGCAGTGCCAACCACAACCAGGCAGCGTGACAGCAAAGGCAGTCTGAGCGCTCACCACCCTTTCCCCGCTTTCTTCCTCATTGTTTTTATACTTTCAAAAATCCATGGCTAGGAAAGCCCGTGCGGCAGCCAAAGGATGTGGCGCGCACAGACGAGCTGCAGGCTGCCTGACGGGGTGTCCTCAGCGCATCTGCAGCCTCCCACGAGATTTGCATTTGACATCCATCTCCCCATTGTTAAGACATCTTTCTATCCGTTTGCAGGAAACGTCAGATGACTCATCTATCGGAACATCTGATGAAACTAACGTAATTTCAAAATTGAAATCTACTTAGGCATATTTTTCCAAGAAAAAAAAAAAAAAGAAAAATGTTTTAAAATTATGCTAAAAATCTGATTTCTGTTGCAAACTGGTTTCCTGATTTAGGAACTCGAGAGCTTATTTTTGCTGTAGACAGTTTAACAGGCTTTTAGGCATCCAAATTTAGGAAAAAAATCCTATGGCATTTGAACACCGCAGAGCCAGAGCTGGAGCTGACTCAGCCGCTCAAGTGCACAATTTGAATATACTACATAATCATTCTTGTTTTAAAATCATCCTCCTAACATCTAAGGGCTAGATTATCCCACCCGCGTTTATCTTGATTAATGCTCTACCCTAAGGACAGCCGTGCAGGTTTCACGAGGACTAATTACGAAGCCGGGCGTTCAACAGCAGGATGATAAAACCCCACTCTGATGGACACGGCCCTGACCTCTTCCTTGCGCTACCTCGCCGAGGTCACAGACAAGCGTGTGTCCTCCTTTTTCTCCCCCACGCTCCTCATTAACACGCAGGAGCTGCTGCTTGTTCCCGACTCGGAGCTCAGGGCGAAGCCGCGAGGTGCGTGCTCGGGACGCGTTTCCCAGCAGCCCTGAGGGGACGCTTTGGGAGCAGATGCCCCTTGCTTTTTGCTCTAGACCTACATATAAAGTTCTCACTTTCATTTCACAGGCATGGAAAGATTTTTTTTTTTAAATAAATAAATTATTTTACCCAAGCTGAAAGTTCCCCTTCTGAAATCTATTTTTACCTCCTACGAGCAGACTCGATGAGTCGCGCTTGCTCGCGGGCGGCTGCGTGCTCCGTGCACGCCGTCCCTGCACAACATCCGCGGAGGACACCTGGGACGGAGGCCAAAGTCTGGCCGGGCAGCGCTGAAGGGTACTGCCATTTCACCGGGTCCCCTCTGCAAGTATTTGCTTTGCCTGTTTATGTTCTAAATATAGCAGAGCACACCGGCCATCTCCAGCTCCTCAGCCGGCACTGCTGGCGGGGCCGCGGCACTCTGCAGCGCTGACACACACCTGCCTGATGTCAGCTAATATCAGGCAGTTTTTCTAAGCCACAGTAATTCCTGGGAGCACTACGGGTGCAAGAGGCATTTGTAGTTTGTAAAGAAAAATTCAGTGACTAAGTATCTGTCTTACGTCCAAGAGACAGTGCAAGAACAGCTGTTTAGTTAATGCTGATATTACATACATTTATAAGAAATCAAATATTTTAATACTAAGGTCAGTTTTTAGGTGTACTGCCATTTTAGTAAAGAGCAGGGGCATTACATCCACGCTGAATTACTGAAATATTAAAAATTACTTCTGAATGGCCTGATCAAAATTAATTTTCTTTTTCCCTTTGGTAAATTTTTAACTGAGGGTCTAGACAAATCTGGTATAACACACCCCTAAATAGTTTTTGTATTACATCTAAAGTTTATGATATTGCAGAAAACATAACAAAGTGCTTGTTTAGCTCAGCACACACAAAAACTGACAGAGCTGAACCAAAACGAAACTGAGCAACTGCTTCTCTGCTTTCTGGACTGGACAGGGAATTCACTGAAGAGATCTATTTCATTTTCTGTTTACCAAAGGCATTCTCATGCATTATACAAGCTCCTTAGCTAAAAATAAAAAAATTTAAAAAATAAATAAATAGAAAAAGCTCTGGAGCCCACTGCCACACCACCCCCCCACACGTGCTGGGCCCGCGCTGCAGCACCGCGCTCTGCAGCGAGCGGCTCTCCGGGCTCCGTCGGGCCCCCGGGAGCCTCTCCAGCACACAGCACCTCGGCCACAGGTAAACCTTTTAGCATGAACACGAGTAAACGGAGCTCGGAAGCAGCGCATTTTTGAAGAGCAGATTCCTTCCCAGCTTACAACTTGGCTACTGCGCTGACTTGACGTGGGCAGCAGAAGACTGTTCTGCAGGGGTTCTGAAGCAGTGCTGTGACGTTACTGTCCCCAGACCTCGTCGCTCTTTACGAAGGTGGTCATTATCCCCTTCGTTAAAAAAGGAAATGGAAGAGCCCTGCTGATGGCAAGAGAAGAGCCAGCCGTGCCGCCAGGGCCGGGGCAGCGCGGCCGGTCCTCGCTCCGTCTCTCATCCAGACCTGAGCCCACGCTGCCGCTCCGGCTCCAGCACCGCCGGCGCCTCGTCCAGCGCTGAGATTTCAAGGCGCTTCCAATGACCCTGGAGGTCAGCAATGTGTGCGGAGGACACTGATGCACAGAGCACTCCGGTGATGCCTCCTCTAACGCAGGAGATTCACATCGTTAACTCCGGTGCCTTTTTTCAACCTTTCCGGTGGGGTCCTGGCTCTGGCGAGCGCCGGGCCACCACGGGCACTGCTGTACCTTCCCTCGCCCGCTCTCCCGCTGTGGGAGGTTGGAATCTCGAGGCCAGGCCCGTCTCTCTGGCAGGTACACCACCACGGTACGACGCCTCGCCTCGCCGCGAAGAGGCAGCGCCAGGCGGGCTCGCTGCCGCCCGGGGCGGTGGCCACGGTGGCCACGGTGGGCAGAGGCTCCGGGCCGCTCCTCCGCCGGGGGCGATGCCTCGGGGCTGGGACTTCACATCCGTGTTGGCGGCCCCCCCAGCACTGCTCCTAACTCCAGCACTTTTTGAAGGCACAGAAACATTTTATTTCTACATTTTAAAATGAGTTTTTCTTCCCCCCTGCGTGTGTTATAATTATTGTGATTTTAAAATAAGTTTAAACACAGAAACAAAACTATCCCCATATCCATAAGTCAGAACATGGCTGGGAGTGGTGGGCTGGGTATTTCAGCCCTGAGAGCATTTTAAAGGTTCACCCCCTACGCCGATCTCAGACAAGGCCCATTTTTAAACTCAGGAACGTTGCAGGATTTATACAAAACCGCTATAAACCCTCTTCCTGCCCAGCTCCCGCTGCGAAGGGGGCCTGGCTGCACAAGCAACCTGCAGTAGCTGGTTACAGCTACAACTCCCTCCCCAGAGCACGTCCCTGCTGCGAGCCAACACCACGCACTCGGGCTCTGCTCTACTTCCCGGGATTTGGTCCCAAGAAGAGAAAATTATACCGTAGAAAGTCTGACAGGCGTATTTTCTGTTTTCCAACTTTTGATTTTTTTATGACTCTACTGAATTAATTCTGTACCGTTTGTGGGATGAGCATTTTAATGTTAAGCTTATTTAACTCATAAAAAATGAAGGGAATGGGATGGGATTCACACATTTAACACCTATTACTGAAACTACAGCTACGGCAAAACAGCAGCCACACATTCACAGCACCTAACTCGGATACGTCTCCTAAAAACCATGGTGAGGCTGCACCCTCTCTGCTACAGCCCTGCCTGCACATCTAGAGGCACCCTGTTTTCTGCTAAGCATCGTCCTTCCCTTAAGCAAGTGCATTTGTGAGAAAGAGAGGCCAACCACAGCAGTCCCAAACACAGAAATACAAGCAGGGTGCTCACAGACACCCAAATAACCTAGAGAGGAAAACACTCTTCTAAGATTCACCATCAGCTGTCCAGAGACACCAACAACCCGCTGGTAAGTTACGAGATGGAAATAAATCCTCATATTGCTTACGTGGTTTGTGCTATTAAAAACAAAGAATCCTTACAGTGACTTTGCTGTTTCTACGTGAAGTGCCCTTTATTCCTGCTACAGGCAGAAAACAACTTGGAGGCAAAGAACTAATCACTGTAGCCATACCCGAGGATTTGAGCCCTGCCAGGCGTATTTTCCCTTCATTCCCCCTTCCCTTCCCCTGAGGAAAACAGCAAAACAAATCAACAAGCATCAATAAAATAAAAGCAGCAAAACATCCCGCTGCTGGCAGCCGGCAAAGGCTCCCTTTCGGGCTGCAGGGTTTTTCTCTGGCTACAACTGCTTCTTTCATTAACTGTATATCCTTGAAAATAATGTAATATTTACTCACTTTCAATGAATCAAAGCAGGCGATTACGCGTCCGTTTTCAACTTGGCAGCTTTTCGATGGGTGTGCAAATTTACATTCCGTGTCTGGTCGTGAGCAAGTCCCCCTTTGGAACTCCCTACACACTTCCAGCGTTAGCCATTTTGTGTCCCGAATTGGCGTGACACTAACAGCCATCTTTAGATTTTACAGGTAGTTAAGATTTCCAATAGAACGGACAAACGAGTAGCTGAACTGATAAACTGGAAATGATGAAAGAGCCACCTCCAGAATACTCTTTTGTTTGTTTGCTTGTTTCCCCCGCTCCCTATTTTAAAAGTACGTGTAAAATTGGGTGGCTGCAATCTCAAGGAAGAGACGTGCCACCAGGAGTTCACAGCGTGACACCGTTAATCGGCAGAGGTTTTGTACTTAGAGAAACGCTAGGGTTACCAGCAAGGTGGACGTTAAAAAGTGGGGCCCGGGAGAAGCCTGGTGCGCTCAGTACCCCATCCTGAGTGCCAGCCGGAGCCCACACTGCGAGCATGAAAACGTGGCAGACCCTCTGACAACGGGATTTCCAAACTGCTCTTGGTAAAGTTGTCTGCAAGGTAATCTCCACGCAGCTGGATTTGCAACGGGGTTTTGTGGTGCAATCGGTATCGATTAGTTTGGCATAGACAGATGCAGCAGTTTAGAGCAACGATTGAGACCGGATTGGTTTTTTTTTTCCTCCTCTCCTTGATTTTCAGGCAGAAGATCTCTGACCTCAGCAAACTTTTTACTTTTTTTTTTTTTTTTTAAATTTTTGCAGTAAAGCAGCCTACGGCAAGGCCCGATCGCGCCTTTCCCTCGGTTTTGGGTGGCAGTGGGGGTGTCTGGCTAGAGGTGGCGGGCGGATGCGCTGTCGTCGCAGTCTAGCTGGCAGCAAGCAAGGCAAAAAGCAGCGGCTGCTCTAGAAGCGGTCCCAAGCAGCAGAGACGTCAGGAAAGGCACTTCTTAGTACCAACCTGTAGAGAGAAGAGACACGTTACAATTCACCGGGCGGCATTTCGGGGTGTCCCGCGGAGCCGCCGCCGCCCCGCGCCGGGCAACTCACGCCAGCC